GAGCAAAATCAGAATAACCAACTATTTCCAATCATTGCTGATGTCTCAGTATATAAATGGGAACTAATACGTCAGTTTGGTGCTAAAATATCTTAACATACTGTATATCATTTGAAACAGCTTTTAACTCACCATGTACATTTATAAAACATGGAAATAAGTATCACTTAAGAAAGATACTATATTATTGAAAATACTATTAACATAATATAGCTAATTATTTAGCTGTATTATTATTATATCCATTCGTCTGTTACTACATTTCGACAATATATTTACCAACTTGATATATCTAAACAGGTTAAAATTCCTTCTGGACGGTAGAAATACCCAGAAATGACGATAAAACTGTGAGAAAGTGTATTGAACCTCGGAAAGTTGACATTACATGTATCTCGGTTACACACACACAGTGCCAGTGCCACGATAAAACAGAAACAACAAACAATAATTATTTTGCCAAAGAAAAAAGCAAGTAATTGTTAAGTAACTGAGCAAGGTTATTGCTAAGATAAACAATTCTTTATAAGAGTTCGTGCAAACATGAAATATACTTTATGAATGCTCTAGAAATAACTAGGTCATGATGAAAATACAAATAATGTAATGTTTTGACAATTATGGCGTCAACAATGCGTCAAAAACTGTGTGTACTGCTAGTTGTTTTGATAAAAAAAATAGAAGACAATATAAAAAAGAAAATATCTTATTTACACAAAATATCTTAGTTAAATGGTATTTAATAGTATACTGGCCACCAACAACATGATAATTTATGAGCTTTAATTAATATGAATTGAAAATTTTATGGGGGAATACATTATTATTATCTCATTAATGTCATCTAATATTCGCAAATTTACTCAAACAGACTTGTTTAATAATTTACTAATCATTGTGAAATTTATGAGATATATTACTTTCTATTAGTTAAGTTAGCATCGAGGTTAGCATGGAGTACTTATGGGAGAAATTCAATCATATTCAAATTTAGAATGCCACAAGAAGCAACACAAATGATTGATAAAAATGTTAAGCAGTGGATATTAGATGACGAAGTATTTTGGGCCCAAATTTCCTACGTAATTAACGTTTTTGAACCTATTGGCAAATGGTTAAAAATTGTAGAAGGAGATTATAGCACTATTCATTTTGCTGTAAAAGCATTTTGTGATATTAGAAGGGTAATTCAGAATAATCTTGCATTGTCCTCACTTGATGACAAAGAAAAATCCGAATTGTTGAAGTGTGTTGACAAAAGAGAAAAATTTGTTATTAAACCCGTTCATTATGCTGCAGAATTACTAAATCAAAAATCACAAGGTTCTGAACTTGATGAAACCCAAATTATTTCTGCCATAGAATGCATATACTTAATATATCAAAAAATAAACTCAATATAAAGGAGCAAGAAATAATAGATGAAATAGCAGATCACCGTTGTAGAAGTGGCAAGTTATTTGGAAATAACTTCATATGGAAAAGTTGTTTTGATAACCCAGACTCCTGGTGGAAAGGACTGTGTTCTTCATCTTCATTATCACAAGTAGCTTCATGAATGTTGATGATGCCAGCATCTTCGGCTGCCACGGAACGCAGTCACAAACGCAGTTTTAGCGTTTCTAGTCATATTCATTCAAAAAAGAGAAACAGGCTTACTAATGATAGAGCCGCTAAGCTACTCTATGTACCCCACAATGAAAACTTGCTGAATAAAATAGGAAACGGCAATAGATAAAATTTTTTCCGATACTATTGAAGATTTTGAGGAAGTAGACTGGCAAGAAGATGTTATTGAGTGTGATGCTGATGACGGCGATAAAGATATGCCTCTTGCTCGACTAGTGTGTCAAAAATAATTTTTTTTGTGCAAATTTAACCTTAATTTATTTTTTAATTTGAAGAATAACTCTTTATTTGTGTTTATGTATAAGCATTTTGTGTTTTGCGATGTTTTGTTATGATTTTTATAAATAAATATTTCAGTTTTTCTTTTTTTTTTAAAATATTTCATATATTTCCAATATTTCCATATATTTCCAATGTTTCAGGAAATATATTTCTGGAAATTTTACATCACTAGCTGGGAATAACCAAGAGAGACTGTAAAATAATAGAACGGATACGACAAAAAACCCATGTAATAGATGCCATCCACAGTGTCAAATCACTCAAATGACAATGGGCAGGAGACCTGGCAAGAAGAACTGACAATAGATGGACCACAAGAATTACTGGTACCCACGAGAAATTACCCACTAATTAAGAGACCTAGAGGAAGACCAAACCTGAGATGGGACCATGATATTAGGAAATTAGCAGGGATATATTGGGCCCGCATAGCCAAAAATAGATAACAATTGGCCCAACTGCAAAGAGAGTATGTGAGGGAGTAAGCTGAAAATGATGATGATATTACTTTCAAAATTATAAATGTATTTATCAAGAAGTCAAGTTAGAAAAGAAACAACTAATGGCAGAATTGAAAGCACTCATTTTAAGAACTACTATTATGTATAAAAATTATGTAATGAATTAAGAATGTTATTAGTCAAGACCTAATTTAAATTATTTTTTTTTGTACCATAAAGTTAATGATAAAAAATAAGCACCTACTGGGTCACACTGTATATAATTACACTAGCTAATTTTTATAATTAATAGAACCTCGTTACAGTTTTCGCTGCACAATTATAATTAATTCAAATCATCACATAATTAATAACGAGCGATGTTCATGAAATGCGTGTAGAACACGGTTTGTACGCCATACAGTTAGGTATGTGGCAAGATTAAAAAATATCTTGAACTCGTGAGCGAAAATAACTTTCTCACTTAAAAACATGTTTTGTTTTTCTAATATCACATGCTGATGCAAATGATAAATTTACTTTTATCATTGTTTATTAAAAAGCTTGTTCAAATGTACCCAAACTTGATATTTTTTTTAATAAATAATAACAATTTCAATGTTTGTACTATTTATAATTACGTTCAGACAAAATATTTATTTAGCTGTGAACGACACCTTACGAAACAGTGTAGATTGTAAACTTAATTTTTATAAAAACATCGTTGCAGTAGGCATAGAATTATCACAAATTCGAGTCATACTATGCCCTTCAACAAAGCTTTCCACAGTAAGAGCTCATCGTCAAAACAAATTTAGAAAAAAAATTATTAAGCATTTCAAAAATAAACCAATAAAAATTTAAATGTAGTAAAATTTAAATAAAAAGTGTAGTCTTATAACTTTTGACACCGACTTTAAATCAATCATCAGCTTTCATTGTCACTGTCAAAAATGTCAGCGATAAATATAGACAAAGAATATTATCTATAATGTTGACTACTAAAAATATAACTAAACAAATAAAAACAAAAAATAACTTATATAATAATATAAAAAATAGAACGAAAAATGGACACCTTAAAATTTTCATATATTTTAAAGTTCAGTATATTTTCATCTAGTGGGCCGATTGTGATGATTTTTAAGCAATTTGTAGATAAATTATTTGACTTTTTAGCCTCTTTTTAAATTAGAAAAAAAGTCCGCATGTGTCTATTATACGAGGGAAAATAACATTTTCTTATATTGGCGAAAGTTTGAAGCACCCTGTGCAACAAAGTAAAGAATTACAGTTGAGGGTTGGAACCTTTGGTGTTACACAGCAAAATAAAAACACTAAATCACCACAATACACCAAAACACTTTTATTTTACACTGGACGCGCGTTTCGCTAACCATGTTAGCATCATCAGCAGATGATTATAAACTAAAGTACAATCTACAAGTTGAGCGTTTATATACTCGCTCAGTGGGCACCGAGTGGGCGTGGCAAAATCTAGCCAAACCGAGTCAGAGCCAACTGAGCGTAACAGTTAAATTTCCGCCACTAGAGTAGTAGGAACAAAGAACTTGAAGGAATTGGACCGTTGACTCTGTTCATACTATCTTTACATTTATTAATTCTGATGCTTTCATATGCATCTAATTGCTTGTAATTTGAGACTTGTTTAATTAATTTTAAATTATTAAGATCTATACAATGTTCTTTATCAACAATATGTTCGGCAACGCAAGATTTATCCGGTCTACCATATCTTATCTGAGCTAAATGTTCTTTAATCTAGTTAATATTGATCTTCTAGTTTGCCCAACATATTTCTGATTACAATCTTTACAAGAAATTTCATAAATACCCGACCTTTCTAGTGGAGGTGTTTTATCTTTTGGATTACCTAATAATTGTTGTAATTTATTATTAGCACTATACACAAGTTTATAATTGACATTCTTAAAAATTCCTTTTAGACCACGGGATAACTCTCTATCAAGTAAGAAATGAATATAATTATCAAAGTAAAGAATGTAAAAAACATTTTATCATCAAGGTGCATCATTTCTGAATAATTTGTTTTTTAATTTTTCTCAATAACATTTTTTTTCTGTTTGAGATATTATTCGTTTTTGAATAAGACAATTAATAACAGTTTTAGCATTGAATTATTTTGGTCCTCATCAACACAACTACGAAACATTGTTTATTGTTTTTGTAATGTCACTGTCATTAAAAAGTCAGATAATTATTGTTGTTTGGCAGTTAATCTAGAAACGATGGTTTAAGTTCAGAAGTTATATTGGTTAATGTTGCTTTATTTGAACATAGTACCGATCAACTTCTGGAGTTTAAACCATCTCTGGTCCAATAATGGCAGTGATACAAAAAAATAATTAGCACTATTTCATAGATGTGTTGATAAGGATCAAAGCAAAGACATGATTTTAATGTTAAAATTAATATAAATAAGTGGTTTCTAAATACCTTGCTTTCTTAAACCATTACACAGGATGTTTCAAACGTTAAAATAACAAAAATGTGATTTTTAATTTACATATCAAACGGTATAAATACGGTCAGTGTATAATAAAATATATAAAAAAAATTACTCAAAATACACAAATGATGTCAAAAATATTAATATGTTGAACTTACCTCCGGTTCCCAGAACTTTGAGCAAATCAAAATGGGACATATCAACCCTCCCAACTCCAGAGAGGTTGACTGAAAAAAGAAAGAAAAGAAAATTAGATATAGCCAATTATATAGAAAACTAGTACTCTCTCGAAAAAATGACTTTTTTAGTAAATTAATCAATATGCCAAAGAAAAAAATCAGTAAATGGGAAATAAAAAAGCTTGTGTAGTTCGTAGGTATTTGTTAGCATTAAATAATATTAAAATTTATTCTGTAACAGTAAATTTTGATTGTTTAATAATATACTCATATATTACTCTTAAATATTTAAGGTATTGTACTATATTATTGCGTTTTGTTTACATTCCATAAAAAGATTGGTATTTGCAATAGACTATGTCAACAAGCAAGTATTCTAAACGACAGTTTTGTGGTATTATGGAACATTTTATTCAACTATAGTTGAATGGCATTATTTTCTTTATACAAAGATTAGTTAAATACCTAATATAAACACTTTGAAAAGTATATTTTTAATAATATTTATTTCTATTAAGTATGAGGTAATATTATTTTTTCTCTACAGATTTTTAACATAATTAATCAAATGTTTCCTCATTACCAATGATGATGATGAATTTATTTTCACAATCTAACACGTATCATTTTGTTTAATATGGAGGCATACATAGGCACTATACCAAGTTCACCAGAGTCACAAGGGTAAAATAAGGTTTCATTAAAAAATTTAAAAAATGTTTAAATATTTGTTAAAGAGAACCAATTAATAATATGATTCCAGTATTCAAACTACATTAATTATTGACTGTTTGCGTTGATTAATAATAATTGCTCCAAATGCTAAAAAACTGACTGTTTTATGTGTATGAGACAGTGTGGTAAAAAGTAACAAAAGTAACAAGTAATTTTTTGGCAAATGCTTATTTTTAACAACAGAGACATCCATTTTCATAACTTATTGTTATATTGATTTCTTATTCAAATCCACATTTATTTAGAATAATTTCTTAACGAACGTAAGTATGTAATTAATTAGTATTTGGGCTGAAATAATGGTGGTATATTTAATTAATGGCATACTCTTTTAAAAAGATTTAAATAGTTTTCTTTTAGCATACAAATGGGCTAGTAATATTATCATTTTGCTAAAAACGATAATAGTACTAGCCTGTACCTTTTGTACATTTTTTGCTTTAAAAACAATCTAAAATGTCAATATTCCATGGGTATATTGATAAATGAGGTATAAATTATAAGAAAAAGCATTTTCTACGAAAAATTGAAAGGATAGGTAAAAAGTGGTATAATACACTTTGATAGACAGTTAAATTGTGCATCTGATTCTCCTAAAATATACAGGGCGTTCCATTTAAATTAAACAAGTTATTGCCGTTTAAAGCTAGAAATAATTTAAAATAAATTTTTAGACACTCTGTATGAGATAGTATTATTTTTATTATTGCAACACAATAACTGATCAATAAATAGACTTTAGTAAATATTTAGTATTAAAAACTTTGATACTCTTGGAGAAATGAAGCCTTAAAATTTTTACTGCAATTTCACAAAATTGAAAATATTTCAAAAACGGTAAGGTTTAAGTGTAATACACCTTAATAAAATTTAACTTTATTTTAATCGTAGAAACTAAAAATGTAATAATATACAGGGTGTTCCGTTTAAAAAAATACAACTTTGATATTTTTTCAAATAGATTATATATAGATTATTATATAGATTATATTTTTTCAAATAGATTTATATAGATCAAGATACAGAGTGTCCCAAACTCTGTATCTTGTAAAAATATTTTTAAACTGTAGCTCTAATAGTCCTTCAACGAACCCAAAACTAACAATTTGTAAAAATCTAATCATTTAGCTACAATACTCCGTATCATATGTGGTGAACAATCCTGTATAGGTCAAGTTCGACAGACCATATTATTTAAAAATCGACAAAACCATTTATAGCCTAAGCTACAACAAGCCTATAAACACTACTAGATAAAACAATTTATCTTTAAATTTAACTGACAAGGAACAACTGTCACTGTCAGTATTTTATCATTGGAAAACTACCTAAGTATTGAACATGGATTGTTTTAAATTGCATGAAAACTTTATCTTATAACAGCATTTATACCACAAACGTTTTAATTACAAATTTCGCTTCTTTGTCAACCGAAAATAACGAAAATAATGGTTGACTGACCTCGCGCGATCATGGAAAAACAATCTAGATTACAAAAATAACTTTGTGTGTGCGCTTATTAAGGTCGCATGGGGACATCTCGAAATACCACGAAAAGCCTTAATAAAAATCGCACGGACGAAACACATAATTTTCGAGGTCAACGTTTTTATCGTCTGGTTTTATTCTTCATCCCCTACGAGGCTCTTTTACCCTCTAATTTGGAGCGGAGACCGACCATTTACCCTCGGAATGGCCCGAGAACAAACCTCAGTCTGAGTTTAAAAGAGCTTAGCACGTTGTGATGTGAGAATAAAAAGAATACAGAAAATATACCACATAGGAGAAAAATACTAAAAAGAGGCAATATTTTTATATTTAGTAAGAATATTACTTTAAATCAGGGTTGTAAAAAATCTTATTTTTTTATTTAAAACAGATTTTTTTATAAAATTATATCTACACACACCGGAAAAATCTAGGGATATAATTTTATTAAAGTTAAAAATAAATGTTTTGAATAAACAACCACATATTTGTAGGCCGATTCTTTCTACTTCGATTGAAACGAAGTAGTCACACTAGTTATTTCTAAATTTGGGATATTTGTAGAAGTGCATTTTTTGTCAAATGTATAAAAAGCACCTAGCATCAATTGTTCGAATTTAACCTGTACTGGCTATGTTTTCATGATAACTGGCCAGAATTCATTCAAATAACTCTGTTTAGTATTAAACGACATTATGGAGCGTAGACATCTTAACAGAGACGAAATGCTAAGGGCCATGGGTATGCTAGAAGCTGGAATGCGCCAAATCGACGTAGCTAGAGCGTTAAATACAACGCAAAGTGTAATATCGCGATTAAGTGCACGCTACCGTGAAAGTGGTGATGTTGCTAAAAGCACACAGGGCGACATCGCATTACCACCCCTCAGCAAGATCATTTTTTACAATTAAATGCTCGACGCCGACCGACTCTTACAGCACCAGAGCTTATTTTAATTCTCAAGGAAACACATAATGTAACCGTTAGTCCTGACACTGTTCGCAATAGATTAAGAGAGGTCAACTTAAGAAGCAGACGCCCCTGGAGAGCTCAACCCTTAACGAGAGGAAATCGACAGGTACGATATTTGTGGGGTCAAGATCATGTTCAGCGGTCGAATGAACAATGGGCCAATGTTCTCTTCACGGATGAGTCACGCTTTGGAATTCATCCGGATTCGAGAAGGCTTAGGGTATGGAGAGAACCGGGAAATCTTATTCGGTTGGATCATGTTCAGGAAGGGCACCCTTATCAAGGTGGAACAGTTATGGTCTGGGAAGGAGTCCAGTTAGGCCGAAAAACTGATCTCGTTTTTCTTGAAAGGTTTCTAACAGGAATCACATATCGTGATTTAATTCTTGAGCCTGTCGTGTTACGATATGCCAATGATTTTGGGAGAAACTTTATTCTCATGCATGACAATGCTCGGCCTCATACAGCCAGAGTGGTAAGTGAGTTTATCAATGCTCATCAATTAAACATCTTACCCTGGCCGGCACAATCTCCTGACCTCAACCCCATCGAGCACGTATGGGACGCGGTCCAAAGAAGAATTCTGAGAATGGGTATGCCTCGTGAAACTCGTAGGGATCTGGTTGGGGCCGTGAATGCAGCGTGGCAGGCTGTACCTCAAGAAGAGATCGACAACCTGATCAGGAGCATGGAGAGACGATGTAGGGCTGTAATGAACAATAGAGGAGGCCATACCCTTTATTAAGTAAAAATGATTTTATCTTTTTTTTTTAAATTCACAGTTTAGAATAAAAAAAATGTGTGTATTTTTTTGAGTTCAATAAAAATCAAGGTAAATTTGAAAAATTCGGTAAATTTCGCATTTTTATTTCCAATTCGTCCTGTAAACTATTTGTTTATTTTAATTTTATTATATCAGAAATGCAAATAATAAAATTACTGACGATGGCTGGATAAAATTGTAATATCCATAGACTTTTCCGGTGTGTGTTTTTACTGCCTACTGTTCTGCAATAATTGTTTACATGCTGGTCCTATTTGTAATTTTAATGACTTAGATTTATTTGAATTGTATGATTTGTATTGTGTATTTTTTGTTGTTTGTATTTTTTTGTGCTTTTGTTAGTTTTGTGAGTGCTTTGTCGATGAAGCTGTTTTGGCTTTTTGCACAATAAAGCGTTTGTTTGTTTGTTGTTTGTTTGTATTTTATGTAAAAATACTGAATTTAAAAGCCACAAATACAAACTTAGCAGTTACTCCTTGTTCATACACAAATTTGCCTAACCATGAAAAGAATTTGATGCTTTAGTCAATACAAGAAAAAAATAAATAAATTCAAAGACAAGTAATAATTAATATGAGAATATTTGTAATTGTAATTGAGACTATTTTCTTTTATTTTATACTATTTTTATCACAAAAAAATAATTAAATTTTGAAGTGAAAAATTAAACATGTATAACTAACAGAAAATTGAAAACTGAAATGACAAAACTATTGTAAAAAATATGTAAAACTTCACGACAAAATAAGTCGCAACTGAATAAGGTTACTGCAATTTATTGCATAGGCATTGAAACTGAAAGTGCAATTTTTCAACGATAAACAACGAAAATATCCAAGTTAAATTAACATGTAACGCATACTAAAAATACATAAATTCACAAAATTACAGCAATTGCAGCGTAAGAAAAATAGTGGATTTTCTTTATCTATAAAACCGAAATCAACCTTCTACAATTAATTGCAGGTAATGAATAGTAATAAGCATTCATCGTATCTAACAAATCACATTGCTAAAATTGACATTAAGGTGTATTAATTCTAATAATATTGCAAGTTAATCAAAAACT